ACATTGCAAAAAACGTAGGACAGAGGACAAAGTGATCATGCCCTGCAATGCTCTCGGAGAAAGATGAATGCACCAACAAAGAAAGAAAACATCGAACAAGGCAAGAGAAAAATGTGGCTTAGTACAGCTTGGATACAGCAGACTTTGTAAAGTAAACACAGAGAGGATCTGCAAGAGTACTCCTTGAGAGTGATGGATAGCCCCCACGCACACTCACCCGATTTATGCAGCCATACTTCCACATACACTGCTAATTTCTGTCATGCAGGATAGACTGTAATCCTTAAGGGTGTATTTACTATCTTTCAGATAAGCTTTGTGTCATGCTTTGCGCAGTGTTCATCATAAAACCCAGAGTGACTGTAACTCAAAGGAAAAGGTAAATTCTGAGGTTCTTGGTCAGTCCCCACCACTTTTTGTTCACATGAATTGTAAAGGCTAGTAAGGTGGGTGGGAGGTTAGAGGCCTTTTTAATGAAAAAGCATTATCCAAAATAAAATGATCTGAAACTTTCATAAATGACGGAAGCACTAATTCTAATTGATTGATTCTTAAGTAATAAACAACTTAAGATTCTAATGGAATTTGCCTGAATCCAGAGATAAACATTTGCATTAACTGGAATCCCCTTTCATTGTGACGTTTACATTGCATTTAGCTGTTGGTTGCCAGGTAGGGATTTGTTGTTTTGGGCCAGATTCATGTTTACTCAGTGGCTGTTAGCAAGATCAAATAATTAAAAATCAAATACATCCCTTGACCCTCTGGTTAGAGAGGCTCAAGAAGAGTCTTTTAAACAACTGGGGCACACTGTGACATTAAAAGGTGTTCTCTAAGCAAGTCTAGGCAATTTACAGTAGGAGACTTTTGTGAGGAAGTATGAAATTAATCAAAGTCAGAATTGCTGTTATGTATTTCAGTGACGTATGCTGCTAACAAAGTTTTCTTTTAGGTTACAGAAAATGATTGTTTTGGGGTGATCCATTTTGAGGCACAGTTGTTCAGGTGCATGCTACATATGTGTATATGGCAGGGTGGTAAAATCCAGTTATTTGCTGTTTGTCATTCCCTTGTTTTCTCTTCCACATTTCCTGTCCAAGTAAATATCAGGGCAAATATTAAAAATAATGAACTTTAAAATAAACACATATTTTGGCATCCAGTTCTTAAGCATCATTGCACATGTAGGCTACAAACTGTGGCTATCATTTTAAATCTCACACTTCCCCATGTAATAGCCCATTTATTATCTCTAACTATCCTGAAAATTATGCAAGCCTCACACTATATACGATATAACTATTCAGGCAAACTGTGCGCTATTTAAGTCCTCTTGTTATCATATCACGATAAACATTTATTACACTTCAAGGTGTTGACCTGTAAATGTGGTGGATTGAGGCTCCCTTGACATGTTGTCATGTCAATGATTACCATACATCAGAGTGTCTTCACTTCCTGGTACTAATATAGTTGCAGAGAATATATTTCTACAGCAAACAACATCATGAATCTCCAACCCATAAAATTGAGTAAATTGAATTTATGACTAATTTATTTGACTTAAGACTAATTGGAGCAATGCTTTATTTATCCTGTAAATTATCTCATAGTGCCTGTCTGTCTGTGTATGTAAGAGAGAGAGGACATGTAAAATCCCCGCTATTTATTCTAAAGGATGACACATTTAATTTAGGCCCTGCAAAAGAAATTAAAAAGCATAGCTGTTATTAATGAAGATGGAGCCTAATGATGGCAGGCCACATAATAAAAGACATGCGCACACACATACACGGACAGTGTGAGGACATTTAGCTTACTCCGAACAAAACTTTGTTATAACAGATTCCTCTTAAAATACTGGCTCTCTGTTAGAATGTTAATTTTAATGAGGTATAAAGCTTTACAGCGATGCTAGTTGATTATCTGTCTGCAATTAACTTGTAGAATAAGGATTCTTTTACAGTCACATCATGTGAGGCTTAAAATCATCTTAATTCATGAGAGAAGTGTAAAATCTATTCCTTATATCACAAGATTTCAGTGTCAAAGTGCAGTGCACGGACACTCAAAGTCATATACACTTTTAAAGTCATTGAGAGTGTAAATTGAACAGAAAAACAAGCTGTAGTCTTAGTCTTCCCTTAATTTTGTTACAGGTTTGCCAGTCTCATGCCATTAAATGTATAGCCTGCATAGCACTTCTATTGATTAACAAATGACAACAGCGTCAATGTGTCGCAATGTGCACTTGAGGTCAGGGACTTATTGCCTTATTTCAACTCTTTCTTTCCTACCTCTCTCTTCCTCTCATTCTCTAACCTTCTCTCTTATCCATCTCTTTTCTATCTTTCCCTAACAGTCTTCCTTCCCTCTTTCTAAATAGATATTGAAGTTTTCTATTTAAGGCAGATGCTGTTTAACTTCC